TGCGATGTACCTGAAATGAAGTGCTCATGTGGTTCGGGGCACATGCGGTGCGACCGATGAGGCACTGTGCTGAAATGCCACTGCGGTGCATTCAGATCATGAAGAGGATGCATGCCAATGCGCCTCATGAAAAATTGTGAGCAAGGGCATGCGGCCTTGTCAACGTGCCTAAACTTCAATCGCGATGCAGCCAGGCCCGAATGAGGTGGGCAAGCAACTGCGCCTCAAACGGATATGGGTCTCGGGGCACACGCGGTGCCACCGAGGATCCCGCGAGGCTGGATTGCAACTGCGGTGCAATCAGCCCTGATGAGGTTGGCATGCGACTGCGCCTCATGCAGGTAAACAGCAAAGGCATGCGGCCCTGCCATGAAATCGACCAACTCAGATTTCTTAGGAGCATCAGCGGTGCAACGTGTAAATCTGAGGTCGGTGCCGGATAGGTGAATGCGGACATGGGCACTAAAGCGATTGGGCTAAAGCATGCATGCTGCAATCCAAGACCAGTGGAAAATGCATGCATCCAAGCAAAGAGATGAATGCACTCACACATGCAGGTCGGGCCCCCCACAAGTAAGGAAAGGGTGCGAGACGCATGTGTCACCACGATCAAATGTCGACGCACATGTGATGTTCACAATGCGCGGAAAGTGAAAACCTAGCAACTGCCAAGACGGTTGACACGTGGCTGTTGCCGACCATTATGCAGGAATCGAGCATCCGATCAAAGCTGGTCAATCTGAATCAGCGGCAATGCCCGTGGAGTGCGTAAGCATGCAGTGGGACCACTGGCACTGACCCTTGGCAAAAGCGGTTTGGCAAAAGCATGCGGTACATCAAATCTGCTGGTTGCCCAAGGAGGCGGCATTGAAAAACACTCATGCTCGGCACGGCTGACCGTTAGCGCATAGTGGTCTTCACAAAGCGCTGGGCTGCAAAAAAGGCCGAGAAGTGCAAACACAGCAATGCCCATGCAGATTGATAGGTTGCTGTCACAGACAAGCAGTGCAGAAAGTCGAGGATTTGCAGCAAGGCTGAAAATCCTCGACTTGCTGCACGGGCAAAAAAGGGGGACCGGCTCCTGCAGAGTGCGGTGATGCATGCAAAAGGGCCTGAAGAGGCCTAGATGGTAAGAAAAGCATGCGGTACATCAAATCTGCCATGCTCACCCCGCACGTCTGGGGCGGTCAAAGTGCGCTGCTGCATGCTCTGATGCCACGACCGATGCGGAGTCCGAGTCGGAAGCAGGCACCACGCCCAGGCCTTGCGTGTACCAGCGCAGATCAGAGTGGTTCCACCACTCTGTGGCCTGGAATGCAATGCGGTCGCTGGGGATCAAGAAATCCCAGATGCCAACAGCGATGTTTGGTGCCAAAAAGCGGGTGCTTCCAAATGCACGCCTCAATGCATGCGAATCAGATGACGGTGTGTCATCAGGCACTGCAGTATGCGCAATCCATGCCACTGCAAGCAATGCATGCGTATCATGCGGATCCAGGAAAGGCCAAATGGATGCGGGTGCAAAATGCATGCAAAGCTCAAATGCAGTAAAAACCATGGCGGCGCGGCGAGGCTCAAAAAATGAGCGAGAGGGGTCAAACCCTCAAGGCATGTCTCTTACCAAAAGGCTTGAAGCAGAAACGGCAACGCGGCCGAAGATTCAACCAAGATTAAAACACAGGGGAAAAGAAAAACCCCTAGCGTCTGCAAATTGCTCTGGTTGCAAGTTGCTCTGCGCAAGTTGCTTTGCGCAAGTTGCTCTGTGCAATTTGCTCTGTGCAAGTTGCTCTGTGCAAGTTGATCTGCGCAAGAGGCGCTGTGCAAGTTCCTCTGCGCAAGTTGCTCTGTGCAAGTTGCTCTGCGTAAGTTGCTCTGCGCAAGTGCTTTTCGCAAGTGCTCTGCTTGCAAGTTACTCTGCGCAAGTTGCTCTGAGTCTGCTTGCAAGTTGCTCTGCGCACGTGCTCTGTGCAAGTTGCTCTGCGCAAGTTGCGCGAGTTGCGCAAGTTTGCTCTGCACAAGTTGCTCTGCAAGAGTTGCTCTGCGCAAATCTTCTCTGCGCAAGTGCTCTGCGCAAGTGCTCTGCTTATTGCAAGTTGCTCTGTGCAAGTTGCTCTGCGCAAGGTGCTGTGCAAGTTGCGCTGCGCAAAATGCTCTGCGCAAGTTGTTCTGTGCAAGTGGCTCTGCGCGGAGTGTACTCCGCGTACTACTTTTGTGCTGAAAAGTTGCGACTTTGCAGCCAGAGCTGCGGGAATGCACTCCGCGTGCTACTTTTGTACTTAAAAACTGCGATTTAGCAGCCGGAGCTGCGGGAATGTACTCCGCGTGCTAATCTTGTACTTAAAAGTTGCGATTTTGCAGCCGGAGCTGCGGGAATTTGCTCCGCGCACTGCTACTTTTGTACTTAAAAGTTGCGATTTTGCAGCCAGAGCTGCGGGAATGCACTCCGCGTGCTACTTTTGTACTTAAAAACTGCGATTTAGCAGCCGGAGCTGCGGGAATGTACTCCGCGTGCTAATCTTGTACTTAAAAGTTGCGATTTTGCAGCCGGAGCTGCGGGAATTTGCTCCGCGCACTGCTACTTTTGCACTTAAAAGTTGCGATTTAGCAGCCGGAGCTGCGGGAATGTACTCCGCGTACTACTTTTGTACTTAAAAGTTGCGGTTTTGCAGCCGAGGCTGCGGAAATGTATTCCGCGTACTACTTTTGTACTTAAAAGTTGCGATTTAGCAGCCGGAGCTGCGGGAATGTGCTCCACACACTACTTTTTTACTTAAAAGTTGCGATTTTGCAGCCGGAGCTGTGGCAATGTATCCGCGTACTACTTAATACGTAAAAGTTGCGATTTTGTAGCCGGAGCTGCGGCAAAGTGCTCTGCGCAAGTTGCTCTGAGCGACTTGCTCTACGCAAGTTCCTCTGCGCAAGTTGCTCTGCGCAAGTTCTCTGTGCAAGTTGCGCTGCGCAAGTTGTGCAAGTTGTGCTGCGCAAGTTGTGCTCTGCAAGTTGCGCTGTGCAAGTTGCTCTGCGCAAGTTGCTCTGTGCAATTTGCTCTGTCTGTGCAAGTTGCTCTGCGCAAGGTGCGCTGCGCAAATGCTTTTTGCAAGTGCTCTGCATGCGCCGCGCAAGTTGCTTTGCGCAAGTTGCTCTGCGCAAGTTGCTTTGCGTAAGTTGCTCTGCGCAAATTGCTCTGCGCAAGTTGCTCTGCGCAAGTTGCTCTGCGCAAGTTGCTCCGTGCAAGTTGCTCTGTGCAAGTTGCTCTGAGCGACTTGCTCTATGCAAGCGCTTTCTTTGTGCAAGTGCTCCGTGCAAGTTGCTCTGCGCAAGTTGCTCTGTGCAAGTTGCATTGTGCAAGTTGCTCTGCGCAAGTTGCTCTGTGCAAGTTCTTTGTGTAAGTGCTCCGTGCAAGTTGCGCTGGTGCAAGCTGCTCTGCGCAAGTTGCTCTGAGCGACTTGCTCTACGCAAGTTCCTCTGCGCAAGTTGCTCTGTGCAAGTTGCTCTGCGCAAGTCCTCGGTGCAAGTTGCGCCGTGCAATTTGCGCTATGCAAGTTGCTCTGCGCAAGTTGCACTGCGCAAGTTGCTCTGCGCAAGTTGCTCTGTGCAATTTGCTCTGCGCAAGTTGCCCTGCGCAAGTTGCCCTGCGCAAGTCAGCCGGAGCTGCGGGAGCGTTCTCCGCGCGCTTCGTTTGTACTCAAAAATCACGTTTCATCGAGATCTAGAAGAGCTGCCGTGGACGAAGCGGGGATCGAACCCGCGACCGCGCGGCTCCGAGAGCAGCCGCGCCAACCACCAGACAACTTCCAAGAACCAGTTCGCAAGCAACGAAATTCGCACGGGACCACAGCGAGAGCGATCCGACACGCGCGATCCCCGCAGAGGGTTCACCGCGCGCCGCCAGAATTCGCACGGGACCACAGCCAGAGCGATCCGACACGCACGATCCCGCAGAGGGCTCATCGGTGCGCGGCAGAATTCGCACGGGACCACAGAGAGAGAGAGCGATACGACACGCACGATCCCCGCAGAGGTTCGCCGCGCGCCGCCAGAATTTCGCACGGGACCACAGCGAGAGCGATCCGACACGCACGATCCCCGCAGAGGGTCGCGGGGGCACCGCAGAGATTCGCACGGGATCACAGCGAGAGCGATCCGACACGCACGATCCCCGCAGAGGGCTCACCGCGCGTGACCAAGATTCAGCGAGAGCGATCTGACACGCACGATCTCCGCAGAGGGTCACATTGCCGATCGGCGACTACCATCCCACCCCCCGCCAAGAAAGAGAACTCTTATACCGAGCTCTTCCTCTTTCTTTCTTTCGCGGGCGTTAAGTGCCTTACCTAGCTTACATTACCTAGCTAACGCCGAGCCTCTAGACCTACCTTAGCTCTATGCACCTATAGCTCTATGCACTTGGCTCTATGCACTTGGCTCTTTGCACTTGGCTCTATGCACTTGGCTCCCTGCGCTTGGCTCTATGCACTTGACTCTACGCACTTGGCTCGATGCACTTGGCGCGATGCTGGTGACTCTGTGCACTTGGCTCGACGTGGCGCGATGCTGGTGACTCTGTGCAAGTATCTCTATGCTGGTGACTCTGTGCAAGTATCTCTGTGCTGGTGACTCTGCGCGAGTTGACTCTGTGCACTTGGCTCGATGCGCTTGGCGCGATGCTGGTGACTCTGTGCAAGTGTCTCTATGCTGGTGACTCTGCGCAAGTTGACTCTGTGCGCTTGGCTCGATGCACTTGACGCGATGCTGGTGAAACTGCACAAGTATCTCTATGCTGGCGACTCTGTGCAAGTATCTCTATGCTGGTGAGACTGCGCAAGTTGACCAAGAGCTCCGCACGGAAGAACCCTTCGCGATGCTTTCGGGGAAAAAACACAAATTGTGTAGGGTGTGTGTGTGTCTGTTAAAGAGCGCAACTTGCAATGACGGTCCACCAGTGCACCTGGGGCTAAGAGCCCACTGCTGTTTCCTGTTTCACACCTCCGCCCCGGCGCCTTTTCGGGCTTCTCTGCCAACTCCTCCAACATTCGCCTCCAAAGTCATGAAGCATGGAAGCTGCGCAACTCGACCGCCAGTAAACAGTGTAGTGGAAACGTTGGTTTTTGAAAGGTAGTTCACAAAGCAGCAAAAACCAAACATGGCACAAAGGTCTTCGGCCCTGTCTTGAAGACCCTAACGCTCCTTAAAGAGCTGTCTGCAAAGCTGGCTGCATTTGACTTGTCATTGTGCATAGCCTAAGTGAGAAGTGCACGAACTTATTCTTGCTTGGTAAGGACAATATCTCTCCATCTTCAGGTACATTATTATAGTTATCATTAGTATTGTAATTAGGTCTTATGACTTATGATAAACCCACAACCAGGGCGACTTAGAAGGTGGCGATCGCATAGGTCGCCTGTGGCCGAAACGTGCAGCTGCGTCGCTGTTACAGGGGAATTCGCATCTTGGCTGTTGTTTGGCCTTGTCCAAAACTAGTGTGCCCCAGCCCCGGTGTTGCGCCGCCAGAGCCACTGCAGCAGCTTCTTTTCCAAAGGAAGCACTCAAACAAGTTTCACCCAAAGTCTTGCCTTTCTTCCTGGTTGGCAAGTTCTTCGGCTGGACACCCCACGCCAGACGCAGCATGATGACATGAGCGAGAGCGTAAACCAAAGGGATGTCCATATGCGTGTTTGTCTTATTTCCAGGTACTCCCCGCGCAAAAAAGGGGTCGCTTCTAGTTTCCCTTTACAACTAACCAAAGAAGGGGGCTCATCCAAAAAACACGCCTTAATGTATTCATTGTGGCGGCAGTTTGTTTTTTGGCTGCATACATTTTTGCAAAACATGGGTTGCTTAGTGTCTTTAGCTAGATAGCCATTATTTAGCGAGGTAGCCATGAAAGCAGCCAGCTGGCCAATTGTTCACTTAGCTAGGTGGGGTAGTCTAATCTGAGTCACATTTAGCCAGCTTTCATAATGACACTGATTTTAGTACGCTTGTTAGATTGCAAATAACTAAGACCAGGGTCTGCCTATTTCTAAGCCCTGCCAAGAGAATGCATCAGTCCAAGAACGGCAACAACCCCCACCCACCCCCCCGCACCCCCCCCCCCCCCACCCCCCCTGAGGTCCAATCCCCTGCAGGCCCGGTAGGGCCAGGCAAGGAATAAATGGGTTCCTCTTTATGTCCCTGGAATCTACCCCGAACAGGATGTAGAGGAGGAAATAGACCAAATAGCCAGTGTTTGGAAAAGATCACTGAAATACACCTGGAAGCACAAACAGCAAGGTCACGTATTTTTCACCTGAATGGCGATCTATTATACGTACACCAGGCCTTGAGCCAAACGGCGTAGCCGGTTATGTACAATTGCTGCATGAGTGGACATCTGGTTTCAAGCAACAGCAAAACAAGAAACAAACAGACACAAATTTCTTTCCACTCATGGCATTGTATACTGTAAAAGTGGCTCAATCAGCCCGGTTACGAGCGAAGCACGCAGCGGTTACGATTCCGTAGCCATTGGTTAAAACTTTTGTCGAAATGCGGATGCACTGAGGTGAGCGTCTACTTGTCCAAATGAAATTCAGGCTCTTTTGGAGGCGGAGCCATGCGAGATCTGAGAGTTCCCATATGTACACGGTGGTCTGTACACGAGTCGAAAGAACGAAAAGACACTGACTGTACCAAGCGAAAAAGGTGAGAAATTCCGGTCTCCCGGAGCCATAGGAAAGGACAATCATACATGAAAATGGTTCTATGGTTATACGTCATTAGGATGACATTTCCATATGCCTGACTTCATCTGAAGTGATCAACTTGAATAACCTCGGTCTTCAGCAATGGTTCGTCGTCTCTTCATCTGGGATTCTGAAACGTTGGCGTTCTGGTACAAGACGTCGAGGTTCACAAGCAATGGATGGTGCCAATCCGTATCATTGCTTCCCACCATGAGCTGTTCATTGCTCAGCAACTTGTATCTCTCGCCTGAGCTAACCTTGTAGTCCGGGTATATGTTCCCGAGTGGCTGATTCTCATCAATCTGGAAATCGTCAGAAATATGTCTTTCTCGGCAATCTCGCATGTGGTCTGTCTTGCCCCAATGGAATATGTTTGTGACAAGGGCATCAAGGAGTCCAAAGTATCCATCGTGTTCAATACCCTGACTGGTTCCATGTTTCAAAGCGGCCTCGATAATGGATCTCTTGGACGCTGAAACTTCTGTGCTGACTCTCAAATAGTCCAGTGGGTGACTCTGAGACTGGTTAAAGCATGTCACGATTGCCTCCATGGCCATATTGATCGCTGAGATTTGAGGATGTTGAACTTCCTGTGACTTGTTGATCTTGTTACTCGCAGAGTTCGCATCGCCAGTGATGACGTCAACTCCATGTTTCAAACCTCGGTTCACAAATCTGATCATGTTCTTGATCACAGCCTGATACGATTTGGTCGCGTTGCTCTCGTAGTGATAGACTCCAACCGTTAGGAACGGTAGTCCTGCTCTTGAGACATAGGTTCTGTTGTACTCTCCCTTCGTCTGGATCGTCAAACGAGAATCTTCGGTATATTCCTCAAGAATGCAATCGCAGAAAAGAATCCTACCCTCGGAATATGAGATGACTTGTTTAATTCCTCTCTCCTTGAGGGTTTCTTTCTCTGGAATCTTCCAATCCGGATCATTTCCTGAGGTGCTGACGATGACGTCCTTGAAAGGTCTTCCTACTGCATCATTTTCGCGAACATGTGTCACTCGAAGTGGCAATCCTCCTTGTGAATGGTCCAATGGGACCTCTGCATCATATGATTCTGACAAAAGTCCATACCAAACTCTGAAGTGTGCTCCAGACATGACCCACACCTGTGATTTGGTCAATACGAACCTGTGGATAAGATCCACACGTGCGGTTTTATCGCCTTTCACGAAGCATCCAATAGCCATGCATCCGCCTTGTTTCACGGCAATACCGGTATAACCGGCGTCCTCGAATGTCTTCCTGACTACCTCGTTGTGAATCGAATCGATCTCCTGGATGCAAAGAACATGTCCAGGGTTGTTTCTGATGAGTCCAAGCAAAATGGAGTCTTCCAGGGCACCTCTCTTCTTATATTGGTGCTCTTTCGAGGTTCCCAAGGTTCACCGTGAGAATGTTGAGTCTTGCCGTACTCGTCTGGGTCTTGTGCATGAGAGTATCGTTCCTGGTTCTCTTGGTCCTGGTCGAACACATGAGGTTCTGGAGCACATCGAGATATGGTTTTCTCTTCGAGGATGTATCGTAGGAATTCAGTTCCATAATTCCTCGTGGAATACGAATAGGATAGCCGCACTCCGGTTGTCTCTGGCAAAACTCTTCCCATGTGGTTTTGTTCTTGGTTGCCTCGGAATAGTAGTAATAATCCTTCGTCCGAGAAACTACGAGTGCCTTGATGCTCTCCATCTGTAGGGCAGTGAATCCTTCAGCCGGTGTGAACATAGGTGATATGATCGGTTTCTGCTTGTTCGGCTTGTAGTCTGCAGCGGAAAGGTTATCCATCAATACAGCAGCATCTCTCTGCAAATCCTTCGCCATGGCTGGCCAATCCGTACCGTTCATGTCAATCTCGTTTCTGAAGGTTTCTAGTTCTTTTTCAATATCAAGCTCATAGTCCTGCGAGCATCGCAATGTGATCTTCTTCGCGAAAAGACTGTGGGAAGTATGGCTTCCCTGATCATCTTCTCTCTGATTCTTCTTCCTCAGATCATCCTCTGTATCCTCTTCTTGTCTCCATCCCTTGTGGTCTGTTCTCCAGTTCCATCTCCAATTTCCCCAGGAGGACCACGAAGACCAATTTCCACCCTTGTTCTGTGGTTCTTGGCGTGGTTCTTCTTCTTCTTCCTGTTGCTGTGGAGCTGGATCCTTGGAGGATGATGGTGCTTCTCGCAGCCAAGCCTTACGAGGCTTATCAGGCTTCATCTCGCCTCTCTTCCTGTCTGCTTGAGCTCGTTGGTAATACTTCGCGTAGATCTCCAAGAGATTAGTGACTCTGCTGGATATCTCGTGGATGTGTTTGCAGTAGACAATGAACTCAGTCAGGTTAATCTTCCACTCCTGTTTATAATGAATCTGGAGTGTCTCGTTTTCCGGTTGGTCTCCTTTGATGTACACGAGCATCTTGTTGAGAGGAATGTCATCGGTTGTGATAAGTACCTTTCCTGTGGATCTTTCAAACTCTTGATCTCCGTCATCTGGTCCATACAAGAATAAAATCAAACACGGAAGATTCGGCTTGAAGTCATGATAAGGAAACTGGTTCAGATCTCCAGAATAGATGTAGTCGGTCAGATCAACAACATGGTTATGGATCCTGCCATCTGGAATCTTCCTCCGTCTTCCGGAAACTACCTTATCATCTTCCAGTATCGCTCGAAGTCCTTCATGTGTCGTTGCATGGCCCAATATGTTGGCAACGAAATGCTCTTCAGTGAATATCTGTCCTGATGTCAAAATCGTCAGGTCTCCAAGATCTGGGCGAATAATATTCTGCGCAGGCATCTTAGGAGCTGGTTTGCATTTTGGTTTGCCATACATTGCTTCCTTCGCTGTAAATCCTTGTTCTGAAGATTGTGATGTATCCTTCCTCTTCTGCCGCTGATCATCGGAATATGTTGGCATAGCCTTTGGTGTCGGTCGTGTCCAAACTTCCGGTTCTTCTTCATGTGGTTCATCTCCGCGTCGTTCATCTTCCATGGAATATGTCTGTCCGCCGGTTGACTGAAAGTAAATATGTTTCACCTTCTTGTCCTTGTAGATGCCGTTATCGAAGTTTATGTCATACATCCATTTTGGTGATTCCTTCGGAGGTGGACCGTCGGGTTCTCCCTCATACGTGATGGCCATAATGGTACGAGTCTTGACATTGTCATATATCGAAGCCAGGAGGAGCAAACCTCGAATTCCGCAATATGATCGGAGTTTGGGGTTGTTCTTGAGAATGGTATCCAGACGAATGCTACCGTCCGGTTCTCTCGGCAAGGGTTTATGGCGAGTCTCTCGTCCAGGTTTCTGATGTCG